ACCTAAACACACAACACGAATATCGGTAAGAGAGTAAATGTCTTTGAAATGTGTTACTACAGGAGGATCCTATGTGCTGACGTGGAAAATGCACCTAATACAATCTGTGAAACAAACCACTGACGGTAACGGCTAGACGGCAAAAGTTACAGTGTTTCGGACACATAACACGTACAAACAGGTCACCATCATGCATGGTGAGGTTGAGGGAAGATGAGGAGTAGGAAGGCCAAGGGGAGAATGGCTGATGGACATCAAGAGGTGGACGGGACAGCAGTAGGGGAGTGCATCAAACTGGGGGAAGATTGGGATGTGTGGAGAAGGGTGGTGATGTCAACAAAGTGCACCAACGGCCCTCGGGCTACGGGAGTGACCTGATGGTGTGAGACGATGACTGGACTGCTGACAATAAAGCAGATTCTAAGCAATATCGTTATATGCTAAATCATTTTGTGCCGTTTATCTAAAGCGGTGTGTGTGTGTGTGTGTGTGTGTGTGTGTGTGTGTGTGTGTGTGTGTGGTGTGTGTGTGTGTGTGTGTGTGTGTGTGTGAGAGACAGTGTATATAGGGCACAGTTGGTGGTGGAGACATTGCCACTCTGCCCCCCCGCAGTGTGTCAGCGTGAGGCCGTCAGAGTGAGATGAGGAATGCTGTGTTTGTGTCTCAAAGGCCAAATACACAAAAATGTGGATGCATTCAAAAAGGGCAGAAAAGCTTCCCATCCAAACTAATGTTGTCAAATTGATTTCTCAAACCTTTTTCAGACAAGCATCCAAAACACTTAGCATGCCAGTCTCATGTCTGAATAAGCACTCGGTTAGGTAAAGCCACACTCACAATCTAACCAGGATCGGACATGTAAAATGTTTGTATTCATTTTCAACACAGCAAAAGTCTAAATTAAAGGCTGCAGCAATGAAGGCTGCATTCCACTCTTACTCGTTACATTTTACTGACCTACGTTTTACTTTGTACATTTTTACCTAAACAACCTGGGCTTCCATCACACCTCAGCAGAGCCCCAGGCTGACCGCCTCCATGCCACGCCGCAGTGAGGCCCAACCAAGCACTGAGAACATAAACATGAACATACTTTTCAGAAGATCAACATTTCTGTATTACACAGTTATTAAGTCTGTGTTACACCCATACTACACTGAAGTAACATCAATATTACACCTTTATTGCACAGTTATTACACCCCTTCCATTTTGACCACGTTACACCATTATTACACCCTTAATACATCCATAGTAAACCCATGTTACACTGTTATTACACCCATTATAGACAGGGGCGGCGCCAGGCGGTAGCTTGCAGTTGCTACAGCAACACCAACATTTGGCTTAGCAAGTGCTAAGCCACCCCAATAAATGTATGTATTTTTTTTTTATATATATGTGAATTTCATCATTTGAAAATGGATTGATTCGAAAATGATATGCTACAGTACAGTACAGTACAAGTAGGCTACTTCTGGGTGTTTCATTCAAGCTCGGCTCTGTGTGTGTGGCACGAGCGCATTTTGTTTGAGTGAGCGAGCGAGAGAGAGAGAGCACCGGTACCGGAGATTGTTGTTGTTAGTATCTGGTTAGCTAGCTGCGCTAACGGATATTAGAAGCTGTTTCTACAACAAAGTGAGAGGAAAGTCCTCACCTGTCAGATAACGTCAGCTCAGTGAGGTAAAGGACTCTCTCAGTGTTTGGATAGTTAACTTTAGTCTAAGCGATCTCAGTGGGTCTCAAACGGTTTGGTCACCATTTATGTAAACAATTATTTACAAGGCACACCTTCATACTGCTACCCCCGCGACCCGACCATGGATAAGCGGGAGAAGATGGATGGACCTTCATATGATCATTATAGTTATACAAAAATAAGAGAATAATTGAAAAACAGTTATGAAATACTATATGACAGTAAAACAAGAATACAGTTTAAAAGGGGAGTGATTTGTAAAATATCCATAAAGAAAAAGAACATCTGATTACAGTTCTGTTTCATATGGGTGTTGAGAGATGTATCCATAGACCTCTTTGCTCTCAAAGTGCACCAGATTGATGCTTTTAACTTCAACATTTAAAAAAAATCTTCCGGGGGGAGCATGCCCCCGGACCCCCCTAGAGGATGTTAGGTTCACCCCCCACTTATAATAATAGCACTTTACCCTTGCTTACACCTATATGCCATGAGCTGATTATCGAGCCTTCATTATAACAGTCGTGGGTACACTGTGTGTGCGTGTGGGGAGTGTTTCCACTGTAGCGCCCGGTACATTCATGGGAAACCCCACATGTTTGAGCACCCTCTATGAAACATCAAGCTACCCCACAGCACCCCCAAAAGAAATATCTGGCGATGATTATAGACGTGGACGTGGCCTGTCAAATGACTGTATCCTCCAGGATACAGAAACCATTTAAGGGTTAAACTGTTTATATAGAATCACTAGTTGACTCAGAGACATGACAGTGTTTTCTGTGGGGAAAGGGCCAGTATGTATCATCAAAAGCAATGGTTGCAATCGGTCATTAAACAGCAGGAAGAAGCTGATAGCTAAAGGTAGTGCTGGTGGTATCCTTGGGAACGACTTGAGTAAACATGTCAGAATCTTTGATAATAAATTCACAAAAATGTCCCAAATTTGGATCAATAAAGTACTATCTTATCTTAATACAGCCACAAAGCATTAGGAGAACGAGATAAACAGTGGGTTTGACTAGTTTGACAGTATGGCCAAAGCAACACAAAAGAAACACATTTTGACGGTGAGACGAACCTGGACTCGGTTCATCGGGAGAACATTCAGCATCAGTGGTGAGTGGGAGAGGGGAGGAAATAAAAAAGGCTTCTACTACGTTTTGTGGCATGAGATGAACAGTTTTCCAACTTCACATTTACTGAACACTGCGGCCACATTTTTACACACGAACAATGCTCAAAGCACCCTAACCTCCTGCTCGCTTTTTACTCATCACCTACTCACCCGCCCACACACACACACTCCTAGGAAGAGTCCCAGCCTGCAGCACCCTCCCTCTCTGGGAGTCAAAGCTCCACAGCTTCCCCTGAGGCGGCAGGAAATGACTGAACACCACGGAGAGCACATTGTTTACATCTGGAAGACTATATGACTGAAGAAGCACCTATAAATGGGAGATTGTCCTCACAAGAAAGACCAAGAAGGCAAACCATGGACAATGCAAGTCTCAGCATCTCTCCAGTTTCTCTGAAATAGTAGTAAATATTTGATTTGCAATCATTTCAGGAATATTAATTCCAGGAGCAGCAGGCTCAGCAACAGAGCCTTCGTCCCAGCTGTCACCCTGCTGAACTGTCACTCTTACACACGATGATATGCTATGACACTAAAGTTGAGCATAAAAAAACAACATTAGTTATATCAGCTGTCAATGCTGACATTTACCACCAAGCCCACAGGAAAGCACCATCTGCAAATGCTCACTTAGGTCAGGCTGTGACATAATAGGACACAAAATGATTCTTTCCAATTCATTGACATTGGGAAATAACTTCTGCCATCTGCGTTGTCGCTAACAGTCGGGCCATCCATCCTCCGTGACGGGCGCTTGGCCAGTATAAAATGTAAATTATATTTAAAAATCACATTAATACAGTTTTAGAAATATATTTAGTACATAGCACAGCGTACCTTGATGTTAATCATAACGTTCTTTCTCAGCTTTGAAATGGAAAACGTTTTTTAATTCCAAAATTATTTAAATAAAAAATTATCATAAACGTATGATGACTAGTCGACTTGTTAACTTCATCTTTAGTTGAGGGCAGCCCGATTAAAGGTGACATGTTAGCAAAAAGACAACATTTACTTCAGGAAAACAACATTTATTCAAACCAGTTTTCCAAAACCCAGTTCAAGTTGCTATGGGAGTGTATCAATGAGCAGCACATGGAAGAGAAGACCTGGCCCAGATATCTGTTGACTACAGCAGAACCCTCAGAAATATTGTCTGTTGCCCCTAAAGGCTTATTATCCTCAGAGCAATAGCTGCTCCTCAAATGCAGAGGGAACAAAGCCAAAAATCCATCAAACTGATGTCGAACATCACCTCCTGTTTCCTTTATCACATCACAACCAGACACCATCTGGTCATGTTCCAGTTCCACAGTCCTGCTCAGGGCCACAGAACGTAGGCAGGCGGATTGGAGTGGCTTCACTCAGGAGTCTGAACCAGGCCCATCTGGGCTCCCAGTGCCTGAGGAAGCTGATCTGAGGTCAGCTCGGCTCATTCACCTCTCCATGCTCTTAGTTCTGGGATTGGAGTGTTTCCACAGTCTGCTGTGAGCAGGAGCGCAGCTGGAGGTGAGTCATGACCCTCTGATGATCACCAGCAAACACACCCACACATGCAGGGGTTTTTCTAGAGAAGTATAGTATGAGGGCAATACTCTGGCGCTGATCTTGTATAAACGATATGTCAATTCTGGCGACAACATGACGCCCGTATACAAGATGGTCCCACGGACGTAAACAACAACGTGACCTCGGAGCTCCGTAAAAACAAAGCTGTCTATGCCGTCTGACGAGATTTTCATATTTCTGGAGTAATTATACCGTTTTGGACGAACAGAAATATGATATTATTATTATTCTGGCATCACTTTAAAATGTTACGGGGAAAATCTGCATTTTGGTTTGAGGGCGCACTCTGAGAGTAAGAGGGCGCAGCGCCCCTATTAAACCCCTGGTTTAACCCTTAAGAGTCCCTGGGGCCATTTTTCAGCCATTCGGGTTTTCATGTTCATGCCATTTTGGCTGTGTTGAATGAATATTGCTCAAACTTGCCAGAGGATATTCTTTTTTAGTTGTATATTGAATTGTCGTCTCAGTAAATTAGCCTAAAATGGCTAAGCTACACAAAAACCGACACATTGGTTCTCGCTCAGGTTGTTTATACAGGTGCACTGCAGCCATGGTTATAAGTATTACTATCAGTGCAGGAGTAGTCTTTTTGGAGATGGCAAGGCATTACAGCACACAGGAAGCTCTGGACATCATCATGCACTCTGATTGCGAGGATGGATCCTCATCCTCCTCCGTGGACTATGAGGCTGACACAGAAGAGGCCTCAGAGTCCACGGAGGACGCCTCAGAGGTGGGAACAGACCAGCTAGAGTCCAACTCAGACTCATCTGAAACTGAGAGCGGAGGGGAGATGGAGGAAGCAGCTGCAGGATGGACTTCAAAAAATGGTAAAGTGTTATGGTCTCCCACAAACACTGAGACGCTCCGCTACGTCCCAGCAGCCAGAAGTTTGACCCCGGGACCAACACACTATGCTGTCGCCCGAATCAGTGACTCGGCATCCAGCTTTGCACTGCTGATGACAGATGACATCCTGCAGCATATTGTGTCCATGACAAACCTGCATGGGAGACGGTCAATTGCAGAGTGGCGAGATATGGACACAGAGGAACTGCAGGCTTACGTGGGGCTGCTCATTTTGGCCGGTGTTTACAGATCAAAAAATGAATCGACCCTCAGCCTCTGGAGTGAGAAATCGGGACGGAGCATTTTCCGAGCCACGATGTCCCACAGGAGGTTTCACCAGATCAGCCGAACACTGCGGTTCGACGACAAGCTATCCCGATTGCGGCGCCGTGATGACAAGCTGGCTGCTTTCCGCAAAGTCTGGGATATGTGGACGCACCGCCTGCCGATGCTGTTCAGCCCATTCAGCGACGTCTGCGTGGATGAACAGCTCGTCCCATTCAGAGGCAGGTGCAGCTTCAAGCAGTATATGCCAAAAAAGCCGGCCAAATACGGTATAAAGATTTGGGCAAACTGTGATGTAAAATCATCCTACGCCTGGAGACTGCAGGTGTATACAGGCAAAGCAGCTGGCAGTCCTTCTGAAGTCAACCAGGGGATGAGGGTGGTCCTGGAGATGACAGAGGGGCTCCAGGGACACATCATTACCTGTGGCAATGTGTTCACGTCCTTCGCACTGGCTGAGGAGCTGCTCGGGAGAAAACTGGCCCTGTTTGGCACAATTCGCCGAAACAAGCCTGAGCTTCCCCCTATTTTGCTCCAGGCAAGAGCGAGAGCGATCCTCTCCTCCACCTTTGCCTTTACGAAGACCCACACACTGGTCTCTTACATCCCTCGACGGGGCAGGAATGTGCTGCTTCTAAGCACGAAACACCGCAGTCCTGACGTAAGCGACGAAATGAAGAGAAAGCCAGTCATAATCAAAGACTACAACCGATGCAAAGGAGGTGTCGACAACTTTGATAAGGTAGGCACACATGTATTCTTACTCTTATATTCTTGTCTGAAATATATGTAGGTTTTTTTCAAAGGAGCATTTTCCTATAAAATAATTAATATTTATATCATGAGAGAAAATGCTTGGAATCATTTATTCAAATTGTCTTGTTTTATGTTTTTGTTAGGTTGTTGCCACCTACTCCTGCAGGAGGAGAACAAATCGCTGGCCACTTGCCCTCTTCCTCAACCTGGTTGACATTTCCCATTACAACGCCTACGTCCTGTGGACATCAATGGAGCCATCCTGGCAGCAGCAGAAACCGTACAGGAGGAGGCTCTTCATTGAAGAGGTGGGAGAAATGCTGGTGACCCCACACATCAAGAAGAGAGGGCGCCTTCCCCGCTCATCAGCCGCTGCAACAATGGTGTCAGATGTGCAGGGTGCTGCTGCAGGCCCCTCTCTCATCAGTGAACGGAAGAGCTGGAGGCAGTGCCACTTTTGCATGGACAGAAGAGTTTGCAGCACCTGCTGCAAATGTGGGAAATTCATATGCAAGGACCACAGTCTGTCCATTTGCAGCCCCTGCTCCACCTGAGCTGGACTCTCACAGCCAGACACACAGTGTTCATTCAATGTTCATCTTTGTAAAATAAATGTTGTTCTGGTTCAAAATGATCTTGTATTATTCATTTTAGTCAGGATGGAGTAGTTTTAAAAGATTTAAATTATTCTAGTTTTTTGTTCTTTTCATTAAAAAAACGGTGGAGTTTTTTTCAACAAACTGGCATTTAAAGGGTTAAAATCCCCAAAATATAATTCATATTTAATATATGTATGTCAGGCTGGAGTAGTTTTAAAAGACTGACTCTGTAAAAGTGGGAACAAATATGAATATATCATATTTTTATAGCAGTTTTTGTGAAGGTGGCATTTTCTGGCCTCAGGAACACGAGTGTGAGTTTTTGTTTAAATCTGACACTGCAAAAAAAACAACAATGCATTCAAATTAATTTGGCTGCCAATTGACCAATATAGGGACCTAATAATAACAATAATCAAATATTCCTTGAAATGTATTTTTTGAAAATTATTCTAGTTTTTAGTTTTTTTCAATAAAAAAACTGTGGAGTTTTTTCAACAAACTGGCATTTAAAGGGTTAAAATCCCCAAAATATAATTCATATGTCATATGTGTATGTCAGGCTGGAGTAGTTTTAAAAGACTGACTCTTTGAAAGTGGGAAAAAATATGAATATATCATATTTTTATAACAGTTTTTGTGAAGGTGGCATTTTATGGCCTTAGGAACAAATACGTTTTTCTTTTTAAAGGGACTCTTAAGGGTTAAACAAAAACCTGGTATCTATACACTTAAGAAAACATACACACATACATCACTCATACATCACACATACATATGATTAAATGCAGTTAAAATCACAGTGTTAAGAGAAATGTGCATGTGTTGCATGTTGATCACTTAATAAATAATTAAATCAATATATGCAGGAATAAATATGTTTTGATGATTATTTGGAGCGCAGTTACAATATGTCTGTACCCGTATGCGTTGTAGTGCTAGTTATTATATTATATATAGATATATATCTAGGCCTATATATTATATTGTTATTTAGATCTCTTATTGCTTTTAAAACTCATATGAACATTTCACTGCCTGTCTGTTTTAAAAAAATGTGATTTAAAACCTAAATACATTTTTAAATAAACAATGAAAATACACATGATAAAAACAACATAACTAAAAGCTTGTGGCACATTTTCCAACATAATTGAATCAAACACCCACAGAGAGTTCCTGTTATGGTGTCCTCACGGAGGGATTGTGCTTCCATTCAATGTACAGACAGACATCATTACTCATTGACAGACAGTGAGCATATGCACATACAATGTGCTAACATCTCAAATGCATTATTCAAAGGACAGTTTGTTAAGCACTAGAGAGCAATATGCTTTCGGAACAAATGAATCGGAAGCTCAAGGGTATTCTGGATAATTTCTAGCTCCTTAAAATGCAAATGCTGCTTCCACTAGGCATGCTTAAAAAGATAATACTTATGCAATGGTCATTTCAATAACACATTCTTCTCACTCGACAAAGAAGGTCGACACTCGCACAAATGTAGCTGTGTGGGCGGATAGAGAGCTGAGGAGAGATTAAGCCATTTGAGAAGACAAGTATACGGATCTATCAGAATCCCAACGAGCAGGCTGGAGGGATCCGGCTGCGTACAGTAAGAGAAAAACCCTCTAATGTTTAAGAATGAAGTAATTAACCAACATAATCTGTGTATTCAACTCTAAGAGGCTCTAAGGCATTTGTTTGGCTCAAAGGCAGCTTCAGTCACACAATCACCTGAAAACACACTGATTACAGGAGCTCAGCTGTGTGAGACGAGGCCATCACTGACTGCAAAGGCGCAGAATGGATCGCTTCAGGATGCCTTTTGTGGGGGACAAGCCGTAAAAGTGGGGGCAGGCTGATGCCATTTTCACACACAAAACAGAATAAAAAGCATGTGCATAACTAGGTGGGAACCAACACTGGGTAAAATAATATATATTTTTTAATGTGTTCGTTTCTCCTCCGTTACTTACTACTTAACATTTAGTTAAGGTCTCAGACTAACTCTAGCTCTCCTAACCTTTTTGATATGAAGAAAAAAAAATGTAATCTGTATGCCAAATCCACATGTGTTAAGAACGTGGTACAAAAAAACTGGACTCAAATGCAACTCACTTTTTAATGAGAAAAATAAACAAAGTTCAAACAAATGATCACTCTTGCGAGGACAAAAATAAAGCTCTTCTCTTTGGAAACGCGCTGGGTCTCTAGACATGTGAAGCACACTGAAACAAGACGAACTGGTAAAAGACAAGGGCAACGAGAGGTTTCTCAATACTCTAATTTCCCCTCCTCGACTCCTAACCTCGACTCCTATCCTCGAGACTTAGTCCCGCCCACAGGAGATGCGAGCGGAGGACTGAGGAGGGGAACCGAGGAGAGAAGAGGGGAAGCAGCAGGCGGTTAGAGAAATGAGAACTCCTCTCCTCTGAGCGGTCATTTTAAAGATACGTCCATTAATGATGACAGGAGGCACAGCAGCCCTCTGTCTGATGGACAGATGTGTTCATGACCACTTCTATATTTACTTTGATTCATTCACAGTGCGGTATAATGAGACAATAACAGGCTACAGATGCGGACACACACACATACACACACACACACACACATATATATTTATATACAATTTCAGATTAAAACAAGTATGAGAGCACTCTCATAATGTAACACAATCAGAGACTGGATATATCCCCCCCCCCCCCCCCCCCCCCCCCCCCTCTCTGGTCGCTGAAATGGGGAATTGAAATTACGGGCCAAAAGTTGTATTTACAAGTATTAAAAGTAAGCAGAGGACACCAAACCAACTGAGACCCGTCTACTCACTGTACAACACACACACACACACACACACACACACACACACACACACACACACACACACACACACACACACACACACACACACACACACACACAGCTCCTAAAGCATAATCAGGCTACAGCCGTTGTGTATTTTATTATGTGAAGCACTAAATGGTCTTAGTTAAATATCGACTCTTTGTTTGTTGGTATCTACTAAAACTACAGCATACAAATAAAGAGAGTAGGCCTGTTATACTGGGTGATACATATTTTACACACTGCTCTGCTTTTTGCACGGACCTCACAGCTGTTCTCTCTGGAAACATCGCGTCGCGATGGATTTCTATGCCCAGGGGGGTATACTACGAAGCAGGATTTTCGCTTAGCCGGCTAACTTCAGGGGAAACTCGGGGTTTCCGGTCCTACGACGCTGGTTCTCTTTTTAGCAGGCTAGATCTCCATGGTAACTTATGCTGTGCGGCTAACCTGGTCGGGTTGCAGGCTAAGAGCTCAACTCAGTGAAAGCACTGCCTGCTGACCAATCAGAGCTCAGTGTGCGGAGTTTAAAGATCAAATGCAAAGCTTTTTGTATAATTGCCAGTACAATCGAAATCATATAGCTACAACACTATCTAAGATATTGCAGTATTAAAATCGGAGATAATATGAGTCTGGCAATGCGCAATATTAATTTTGTTCAACCCCCAACACCAAGTCCGACGATTTATTTTCTCCGCCGCAAGATGGCGGCGCGTGACGTCAGATGTGCCAAACATATTTCCACCTGGCTTATCAATCACAGCGGCTTCCGCCGATAGTACAACTAGTTTCGTCTATCATGTCTGATTCTGAGTAGACTATAGACTAAAAGCTTTAGGAATCCAAACTATAACATATAATAAGTACCCTGTATCAAGATTGATGCAAAACAAGTGAAATTTGACCTTTTTAGAGAGGTTTAGAAAAATAAAGTCCAGGCGCTCTGAGTGAGCCTCTGAATTAGCCCCGAGCGAAAAATGCTCGCAGCGGCTCACAGCGGCTTCCGCCGATAGTACAACTTAGTTTCGTCTATCATGTCTGATTCTGAGTCGGAGGCCACCCAATATCTGGAGCATGTTGTCGACATCCAACCATATCTATACGAGCCTCTGATGTCGAAGAGGAAATACAAGGAAACGTCACCTGATATCACCGATGAAAGTGCTGATGGCGATGATTCAAGTTCGCCATCTGAGGAAGAGGCCGAGGGTGCTGAGAATTGGTGTAGATGTGGAAACTGCCAGACCATGCCTACAAGCCGAAAAAACAAGTGCTGCCACAACTATGGGAAAGTGAAGGAAGAGATGGGAGAAGAAGTCTGCATCACCGACTGTAGGACGTTCGACATTTTCCGTTATGAGTGGAGGAGCGATGAATGAGCTGCAGATAAACTACAATGCTAACAGTGAATTAGCCCCGAGCGAAAAATGCTAACCTATCACTCCTAGCGCCCTTATTACTTATCCTAGCTCCACATCCAACACATTGTTTATGATCGTAAAGACACAGAATCTAACGGTGCCCACCTCTATAAGCAATAAAACTGCAATTCCGTTATCTGCGTTATCTGCTGTGCTCCGTGCGCTTTGAAATCTAATCAAAAGTTGTTTACCTCAATTCTTTGGCGTTTCTGCATCGCCCGGCTCTTTCGTTCTTTCAGTGGTTTCTTGTGCTGAAATATGGAGGGGACGGCTCCGGGTTTCAGCCTCCGACGTGCTATTAATGCTTCTCCACCAACAGACTTCATGATAGCAGGATCAACGTCGTATGCATCACACGCGAAGTGGTCAGAACACAACTTGCTCCATTTTGTCGGTTGCCATCCAACACGATTCACTAAAAAAATCAATTTTTTGCGGATGATTTGGTCTTTGGGAAATGCATGTAAAACTCTCCCAGATCCCGCACCGTTCGTACAACAAAAAGCACAACAATAACCCATGTTAATTCAGTTTTCTTTTCAAAAAACATGTGACCGAGACTGCCGAGTCGGGATATTTGGTCCAGAGACTGTTTGGCCACTATTACGTCACGCGCGCGGAGGCTGCTGGGAATTACATGTCAGAAATTCAGACGGCTTTGGGTCGAGTTTTGGATCAATA